TCAATGAGGAGACGTTGCACTGCATGTGTCAATGCAAATGGCGGTCACACGCGATATTTGACCCCACGTGTGCTTGATCCTATCAAATGAATGAGCGTCTTTTCTGTGTTGTTGATTTTGTCAGTCGTCCATCTGTTATTATCCACTCAAAAAATATCAATTCCTTACACGTGCTTTTAGTAATCTGAACTTTTGTAAGTGGTGCGTTTTCAATGTTGGTGACTATATTTCCTACAATCGCCAGCGGCTGAAGGCATGGTAAGGTAGCAAAGGTACTGTATGTCCCCATGGTCCCTAGTATGGTGATCTAACTTCAGTTGTTGGCGATCTATAGCCTGTTTTTATTTTGTATCGTCCTCTACAGTTAAACTATTTTAGATTTAATCACTAGTTTTAAATATATATCTGTGATACGCTAGTTGTGTTACTGTGCTGACAGGTGTTTATAATTTATTATCCCCGCACAAACGAAGTTGCGGGGGGATATAAAAACGAGTTCCATCCGTCCGTCCGTCCGTCCGTCACACTTTGTCCGAAGCATATCTCCTAATCTATTGGTGACAGCTTAACCAAACTTGGTACACACGTCAAGCATGATCCCTAGATGTGCCTTTTGGGGTGAGACCCAGATGCGAATTCTATTTCTTGCGGTGTCCATAGAAACATGACTTATGCTCTGACTATGAGGATGTCATCTTGTTGCATTTCCATGGCAACAAGTTAGGCTTAAACTGAATTTGGTAGTAGTGCTCCTTTCTGGAGCAGATCTTAAAAAACCTTTCAATACTCTCCTTCCACTTTGCTGTATACACTCCAAAACATTTGACATAATCATAACAAGTAGACATATTCATAAAGAATATTTTGCCGTTGCGGGGGATATTGATGACTTTGTCTTCTTGTTTTTAATCATTATAAATCTATAATTTGTTTTAGTAACGATATGGCTGAAATATTGCCGATGTGACTGTAAATCTCAACTCACTCACTCACTAATATGGTGATCTAACTTCAGTTGTTGGCGTTCAATAGCCTGTTTTTATATTGTGTCAGCCTCTATAGTTAAAGTATTTTAGATTTAATAACTAGTTTTAAATATATATCTGTGATAGTCTAGTTGCTTTTACTGTCATTTGTCGACAGATATTCTAAATTGGGTACCTTGTTTCCATCGCTGTATAGCTGTAATATTGCCGATGCGATGTAAACTTTTAACTCATTCACTCACCCAAAGTCTGACATATGATTCTCGTTCAAAGTCTGTCTCATGACGGCAACCATTCAATGTCCTAGTAGAGGCACCATCAAAATGTGTGCTTTAGTGCATCTTTGCGAAGCCATGTTATCGTCAGTGTTAGAAAGTAATTTAGTAAGATTATGAAAAGGGATTTGTCACTTTCATTAACTTCTCTTGCCGTATCTGGAATTATCATTAATATTTTCTTGTCTAGCCCGAAGTTGACAAATGTTTTCTTGTTGAAAACCGCACTGTAAGTCCCCATAGTAGCTAGTATGGTGATCTACCTTCAATTATTGGCGACCTATAGCCTACTGTTATTTTGTACTGTTTAAGATAGAAATAGTGTTTTGTGGTTATATGTTTTCTTTTGTATTAATCTGTGATAAACTAGTTATTTTACTGTCTTTTGAGGACAAGTAAGTATATACGTTTGTTTTTATTTTATGTATACATTTACAAATTTAAAACTTTCATAGTCACGATATGGCTGAAATAGTGGCGATGTGATTTAACTTTCACTCACTCCTGTTGGAAACCAACCGATATGCCGATTGTTAACCCGTTGCTTCAATGTATACTCAACAAATGCAGAAACTCCTTAGTATTGGTAATATTTGGGAGAGGGTCAATTTTGTAATTTTCTGGTTGTGACATACACTACGTGATGATAGGTGAACCAGCTGAACCGAGTCATGGTCAGAAGAAGAGGTGAAACATAACACTATTTCAAGACTCATATCAGCAACGTGAGAGAACCATAGATAGGCTTAATACTGGACAGTCCATTGCAGCAATTTCACGTTATTGGTGTGTTATAGACGGGCACCGTTCAGGATCACCCAAAGCAGTTGCCGAGGCTCATATCAGCAACGTGAGAGAACCATGGATAGGCTTAATACTTGACAGTCCATTGCAGCAATTTCACGTTATTGGTGTGTTACACAGTCCATCAATACATTAACTGCGCCTGAATGTACCCGAGCTAGTCGACCACAAGCAGAGCCTGTCCTGACCCATCTACGTTCAGCATCTAAGAAGGGTCATCAGATTCAATCAGGCAGCCGAACAGGATTGACTTCAGTGACGAGACTCGCTTCCCACTGCACTTTGCCGATGGCAGGGTACGGATGTGGCGCAGGACTGGGAAACGCCCCGCACAATATTCCGTTCCGTGAACATAATATTCCTTCCGTGAGTTTGACCGAATATTTCAGCCATATCGTGACGACAAAAAGTCATATAGACTCTTCTAAGAATAAACATATTTATACATTTGTAAAAACCTGTCAGCAAAAGACAGTATAACAACTAGATTATCACGAATTAATGAAAACTAGTTTGAGTTCAGAGTAAAATGCTAAATCATTTCAAAACAACACAATATTAAATCGGACTATAGATCGCCAACTGATGGTAGATCACCATGCAAGGGACCATGGGGACATTACTTTTGCTACCTGCATGGACCCTAGCTGGATTTACATCATCCCTTCAGCTGTTGGCGAATTTTCAACAATTTAGCCACACATTAAAACTACAAACATTCTATGATAAAAATTCTGGCAATGATCAACATACATTGAATGATGCGGTCTTAAGTACCCTCTTCGGAGGACAATTATTTCACGCTACTTCAACTGCCTCCGAGGGTACAGCCACTAACAATAATATGTATTGTATTTATTCGACCAAAGTTATCCATATAGTTTGTTCAATATACTTTATATTTATTTTAAGGTTTTAATTTCCCAGTACATGTTTACATGACATTATAATTATGAATAGATATTCTCATACACAAGGCATACATAAATAGATAGTATTAACAGGTTTTTGTTCAATATTATAACAAGTGTCATGTTTTAATTTAGTGTGGTAGATACCACCTATTTTCACATATAAGATATTCAATATATCTAGATACTTGCAATCGCACAACGAGCAGCAGCAGCATGCATTCCTGCCTGGCGGACAAGGAATTTGGCTTTCAACTTGGATGCAGTGAATGTTCCTTCATGCCTCAGCTTCATAGAAATATGTGATGGGGTCGCTGCTTTTCTTTGCAAAACAGAAGATTGTTTTCAGGACAGCCAACATGTCCAAGCGGTCCGTTTTGTAAAACTGTTTCTCTCATTACATCTGCCAGGTGCCCTCAACAACCTAGCCCTGGGGAAACCCACGAAGTCTTCAACCTTCCCAAACAACAAAGCCAGAGCAGTAGATGGCAACAGGGAAGCAGTCTTTTCCAGAAAATCATGTTGGGAGAGCCAAAAATACGACATGGAGCCATACTGGATGGTTGACCTTCAAAATTGCTTCTTATTGGAATACATAACTGTCACTAACAGGGCCGATTGTTGCGGTGAGAAAGTAAACCTGTGTTGTTCACGTTTGTACAATATGTGAGTGAGTATGGTTTTAAGCCACGTTTAGCAATATTCCAGCAATATCACGGCGGGGAACGCCAGAAATGGGCTCCACACATTGTACCCATGTGTGGAATGGAACCCGGGTCTTCGGCGTGACAAGCGCGGGCGCTTTTAACCACTAGGTTACCCCGTTTTATATGTACTAGAAATAACAAACATTATGATCTTTATCAAAGATTAGATTCCATTCTTACAATTCCAACCCCTCTTTTCTGCGATAACACATCTGAGATCTAATAGAAAAAAATAACACAAATATATATATTTCCAATTTGTACTAAAAATATTCAAAATCAGAGTTGAGATATGTTTTAAAGTTTTCAGTCAACTCGGCCATGTAGTGTTATACATTTGATACTAACTCAAGCGAAGTAAATTCATTTGATAACACGGTAACATCACATGGAGAATATTTCTTTCGTTTGATTGTTTGTTGGTAAACGCCGAACTCAACAGTACTCTGCCTATATGGCAGTTTTTTATAGCAAAACGTCGGGGAAAACCCTTGTATAATTCCCACTAGGCTTAATTTTTATAATACCCGCCAATAATCTGAAGGGATTATGTAAATCCAGGTAACAATTTTAATTACGACTGCTAACGATCTGTAGTCCTATCTTCATATTGTATCGTTCTCCATGAGGATATACTTTTATCATAGAGTGCTAGCTTTACGTCAACTTCAGTGATGCTCTAGTGGTTATACTGACCATTGAGGATATGTTAAGAGTTTATATACTGGACAAAGATAGTTAGGGATATATGTAAATTTTGAAATTATGAATAACTTAGTTTGTCCAGTTCATGTATTCATTATTATTGTAAAGACTTGTTCTTAAGACAGGGCTTAAATATCGCTTAAATATCGCTGATGTGACGTTAACTTACTCACTTTTGATTGCTTGACGACAGCATTTGGTAATTAAAGACTGGAGGGGGTGTGACTTGTATAACTTGGCAATGATAGACCACAGCGCATAGAGTTCATGAACCATACATATTGAACTATATACTGTAATACCCATTTCAAATCTGGTGTGTTCATTAAGGCAAAACTAATGGTATTATCAGTCAGAATATCGGTACATCTTGCAGGTGATGTTTGGCAATCCAGTCAAAGAGGTAAGTATATTTGTAGTTATCAGTCAGAAATGCTCGCATCTTTCAGGTGGCCGAATGCATGACTTAAAGATTGAGATCTTCGCAGATGATCCAGTAATGGACCCATCGGCCCCCTCACGCCTGTGTGCCATGTATTTTGGACCAATGGCTGCTGGTGCAACAGAAAATATTTCATGTTCACCTGCTGCCAAAGGGCGTTATGTCAGAATCCAGGGTCTGCGCAGACGGTCGAAGAGCGATCTATTAACACTGTGTGAAGTGGAAGTGTTTTGGCGAGAACATAAGAAGTGTAAGTAATTTACTCTCACCTTGGTTTTTAATAAAACCCAAACAGATTTTCTGTTTCTGTGGACGATAATGACTAAACTATGAGCATGTGTTCATAAATCATTGTCAAATTACCAAAACAATCAATCTCGGGTAGTCAGTAGTATCACATTTCGTAGACCAATGCTTATGATATCTATCTCTGGACTGTGTCGTTTAGACTCGATTATTTATCAAATCGCCACCATATAACCAGAATATTGCTTAGTGCGGCTTTCAACAACAGACCAACCAACCTTGCTTACAATCCTCATCAGATTACTTATAATCAAGAGTTAGTCAGCACGTTCTTTGAAATCTTCATAGAATGAACGGGAGGCAATGGGGTCAGTGAGTTAAGATTTCTCGTCACATGGGGAGTATTTCAGCCATATAGTTGCCAACACAAGTTATATATTCATGACACATAAATCGATAATATAAAAAAGACGTTAAAGACCTACAGACAGGAAATCACAGATACAGATATAAAAAAGCATGTACATCTAAAACCATAGAGAGTACAACATATAATCAAATCTACAAATAAATGATTGAGTCGTAATCCAGTTCAGAATGGATCAGAGCTCTGTACAACTGGGAGAGAGTTGTCTCATCCCCTCCCAACTTCGAGTTGGAAACAACTTTAATATATCAAGTGCCTTCAGGCACTTACATTTTAAACATGTTTGCAAGGTTTTTAGGTCAAATGGTGATCTAAAATTATACCCAGGAATTTGGCTTCCTTTGTAATTTTAATGGTGGGCCAGCTAAACTTATAGTTCTGGTTTTGGTTTTTGAGACTTTGAATCCATTTCCCAAACACCTTTGATTAATTCTATTGAAACATAATTGCAGTTGCCGTTCAAAAGTATCACAAGAAACAGTCAAGTCTTCCACCAAAATCGACCCATCAATTCAATTATTTAAAACTTTAGATACGCTATGTATATTTATACTGAATAAAGTGACAGACAAAATACTGTCTTGTGGGACACCTTGATCCTGATTGTAATGACCAGACAGGGAAGAAACCACGCGCACTTGAAATTGCCTATCGTGTAATGATTTACTAATAAATTGAGGCAAACGGCCTCGCAATCCAAACTCTTTCAAAATTCTGTATTTCCACGTTGTATCGTAGGCTTTTTATAAATCGAAAATGATTGACACTAATGTTGATTTTTTTATAATGGCAGTTTAACTAAAGTTTGTAATCGCGCTAAATGGCCAATGAAACCTTCGACGAAAAGCGACTATCAGAATGCAGAATATGATATATGGGGTATATAAGTGGAGTTAATTGATGTTGGTCAACAATGATTAAATGATGCTTTCAAAATACCTGGTATCAACCCCACTGGACATTGATTCAGAAATGAAAGATTACGTTGAAGTTAGAAACATGCATTGGATACTGTGTTAGCGTTGGCATTTGTTGTGATTATGTAATGTTCTGTTTAATCTGGAAGTAAATCAATCCAACATTTGTCCTTTTATTGAAAATGTGCGAGGTGTACTGGTGCATGTATAATCGATACACCTTTGCTGGGGAAGATCTAGTTTTCAAAAGCATCTTTTCCTGATTATAGAATTATGGACCTTGATAACTCAGTCTCAATATACCCCTGATGTCTGAAAAGCATCTGAAGGTCAATGACACCGGAACTGAATCGCTGCTGTTCAGTAATGATTCTAAATGGAATTCCTCGACCAGCTTTCTAGGTTGGGGATTCCACATTTAAGTTCCATACTCTGCTCATAACCTTGGTGTATTCCGATAAGGTCATTAGTATGGAACTCGACGATTGGATATTTTTGACCTGCTACTCAGCAAACATCAGTCATCACCTAATGTGTTAATTAATTCTCTTCCAAATGCACAAATTAGGTCAATATGCGGATGATACGTATTATTTCTGGATGGTTCAGATGAAAACTTATATGCCGCTATAGACACACTTAATACATGTTACAATATGCCAGGGCTAAAGATAAACATAGACACGACTAAGGCAATCTGGATTGGGTCAAAAGCAGGTAGCAGAGATATCCTTTGTCCAGATTTGAATATAGAATGGCAAATAAATTCATTTGAAGTGTTAAGAACTGAATGTACTCCTGATTTGAATGATTTAGGGGTTATTAACACAGAGAAAAGACTGGATGAAATTAATAGATTACAGGCAACTTGGAGAAAAAGACCTTGATAGGCATAATTATTGTTATAATGACATTGGCTCTTTCAGAATTAGTTCATATTTTTAGCACTTTACCTAACCCTCATCGGGAGTCTATCACCGCTCTTGAGAGAATATTTTTAAAATTCATCTGGAATGACAAAAAAGACCAAGGAAAGGGAGCACTTTAAAAGAAGATTATAAAAATTGGGGGTCTATGCATGATTGATGTTAACACCCTTGTTAACGCCATGACATTATCTACACTCAAACTATAGTTTTAAAAGAATCTCAGTATCCATGCAACTTTCCTTTTTAAGGATATACTAACATATGGAGCAAATTTTCAGAATATAGCTGCACTTGATAATCCTTTTTTATCCCCCAAAGAATGGACTCCGTCCGTGCACATTTGTCTTTTCCGGAGCAGAACTCTAAAACCGTTCAATATTTCTTCAACAAACTTGGCACATAGATAGATCTGGTGGTGTACTGGTGCCTTTTGGTAGTTTTGGAATTCTGAATTAAATATTTTTGGCATTTCCATGGCAACAAGTTCGACTTAGCCTGAAATTGTGGTAGTGCTCTTTTCCAGAGCTGAACTCTAAAACTGTTCACTATTTCTTCACCAAACTTGGCACATAGATAGATCTGGTGGTGTACTTGTGCCTTTTGGTAATTTTGGAATTCTGAATAAAATATTTTTGGCATTTCCATGGCAACAAGTTTGACTTAGCCTGAAATTGGTGGTTGTGCTCTTTTCCGGAGCAGAACTCTAAAACTGTTCACTATTTCTTCACCGAACTTGGCACATAGATAGATCTGGCGGTGTACTTGTGTTGGTAGTTTTGGAATTCTGAATAAAATATTTTTGGCATTTCCATGGCAACAAGTTTGACTTAGACTGAAATTGGTGATAGTGCTCCTTTCTGGAGCAGAACTTTAAAACCCTTTCAATACTCTCCTTCCACTTTTCTATGTACACACCGAAATATTTGACATAATCATAACTCGTAGACATAATCATGAAGAGTATTTTGCCATTGCGGGGGATATTGATGACTTTGTCTTCTTGTAGAAAGATGTTTTAAAGCTATACGAACTATATTGTATCACAAATACTATAGAAACAGAGAACATTAATGAAATTTTATCCCAAACTTTTATGGCTGAACAATAATTTCAAAAACTCAAATCACTTTATTAGACACTGGGATAAAATTGAATTTTGACAATCAAGGATCTTTGTGATGAACACGTGTTTACATCCTTTGAAGAATTTAAGCTTAAATTTGATATAAAAGGTACACATTTAGATCTTGGATATGTTATATATATTTTACCGGAACCTTGGATAAGGACTATAACGGAAATTAGATACATAAATATCAATGATCTTGACATAAAATCTCTTCAACAGGTTCAAGATTATTCTATAATAAATTGTTATCTGAAAGTGTTAAACCTCATATTTGCAAAAATGGGAAACATTATTTGATAGTATTGATTTTGACTGGCATATTATTTTTGATATTTACAGGAAGAATTTAAGAGATGTGAAACTGTTAGATTTTCAAATGAAATTTTTGCACAGAATTGTTAATACCAAAAAAAGAACTCTTTATAATGAATATTGTTGACAATGCAATGTGTACTTTTTTGTAATGTTTCTAGTGGGACTGGGGGCGGCGGGGTAGCCTGATGGTTAAAGCGTTCGCTCGTCACGCCGAAGACCAATTCCCACATGGGTACAATGTTCATTTCTGGTGTCCCCCGCCGTGATATTGCTGGAATATTGCTAAAAGCGACGGAAAACCAAAACTTACTCATTCACTCTCTCTAGTGAGACTGTATGCCATGTATATTAGGAATGTGATAAAACCAAAACTTTCCGGCAGATACTTGAACAGTGGATTAGGGAAAGTATTCAGGGAATTTATTTGACAAAAACTTTGCTTTCGTTTGGCATTTTAGATAAGAACCCATTACTGAATCACATAATCTTCTCTGCTAAGAGATAAATTTATACTTGCTCTTTGAAAAACACAATTACAAAAGTTGATAATTACTTAAGGATATTGAAAGACGTATTCCCAAAATGAATGCTGCATCCAAGCTTATCGTTGGACGTAATACATTACCTGGTGTAACACCTGTTCTGCACTGGCTCCCAGCTGTGGCTACAATAGATTGCAGGATATTGAGTAAATTATGTTGTGGCTACTATGAAACAGCATCTTCATACGTGATCGACGTACCAAACTCTTTCAAGGTCCAAACCTACCAACAAGCTTTAGTTTTTCAACTTCGAAATCGAATTATTTTCTTCCCAATCCTTTCTTATTTTGCACCAAAGTTTTGGAACTCTCAGAACTCTTTACTGTAGGATATCAGGGTTTTGTTAAGTCCAAGTCCCCCAAATCATTAAATCAATCATTAAATCAATTCACACTGAATAATCTATCTCTTTTGTTAAGTGTCCTTCACAACTCCTACACAGTGGTATGTGCAACTACCAAAATGGTCAATTTTAGCATGATTGTATTCAACATCCGGTGGCAAAAGCAAAATGTTTTACAGTAATCAATTGCCTTTTCGTGAAGCTGCCATCTGTGGCTTCTTGTCCTTTGCACCGCCTAGAACAGCTTCTTTAACAAAACTTCTTTAAAACTTTAAACGAAACTGAGACTTGTTCCCACATATGATAACCTTTTGAATATGTTTAACTCGCGATTTTTGACATTTTTGCAAATGGCATAGACAAGAGATTTAGTGCCTCGGGCTCGGGGAACCTGTGTAGCTCTTTTCTCTCAAATAGTCGTTATTTGCAAACGAAAATGCAAAACAAGTAACATTTGTTTGGTTGTGTTTTATTTGTGTGTTGTTGTTTTTTCTTGTTTTGTTTTGTTTTGGTTTTGGTTTGATTTGGTTTGTGTTGTTTGTTTTGTTTGGGTTTTTTGTTTTTGTTTTTTTGTTGTTGTTGTTTGTTTTTTGTTTTTTTTTGGGGGGGGGTGTTTTTGTTTTGTTTTTATGATTTTGTTTTGCTGTCCATACTTTCAATTCCAGAGTTGAAGTAATACTTTGTATTTGAAACAAACCCTGCTGTCATTGAGTGTAGTTATTGTTGGCATACGTGGCCCATCAGATCGTGGATCATGGGATCTGGATTAGAATTGTCATAAAAGGCGACTATCTGGTTCGGGTGGTCAGGCTTGCTGACTTTGTTGACACGTCACTGTTTCCTAATCATGGATGCTCATGATGTCTATCATTGGATTTTCTGGTCCAGACTCAATTATTTACCGTCTAGCTGGAATATTGCTCAGCTCGGCGTGAAACAACATAAACAATAAAACAAACAAATCTTACCCAGAAATCACAATTTGCAGATCGACGTCACATAGTTGAGTGAGACGTCAATTTACTAAACGTAATCCGGTAGAGAAACCTAATCAGTTAGATAAAAAAAATCATCTACACATTAATGGCAGATACTTGCAGAACTAGAACCCTGACATTGTATTTGTTTTTCTCTGAATTCCTTATCTCTACCTTTAACTGTCTTCGTAGGTTTCAGCACCGATCTTCACCGTTTGGAGGGAACCAGGTACGTCGGTGATGTTGTCCCAGTTGATGTCGCATCTGCAGCTGAATGCAGCACCTACTGCATGTACAACATAGCCTGCGTCGGCTTCAACTACAACTACGACACGCGAGACTGTGAGCTTAGGCTGGGATCTGCCGATGCAACAAGTGATAATGACTGGTCCTATTTCTTCCAAAACCCTTGTCTGTGAAAGACAGATTGGTGTGATCCAGACTACGAAAACACTTAATTTGATGTAATAAAATCATTGTGTATAACCTGTTTCATGTTTAAAACGAAGAGTATAAATAAGGACGGGGTTAGCTGGAATAAGTGCTCGACATGTATAGTCTGTTTGCAGTGAAAACGTATAGATTGAATTTCACTTTACACAAAAAAGTAAATCAAATAAAGTGAAATTAAGATTGCGAATACTCATGATTTTACCTTGCAACCAGTTGAACATTTCAATCTCAAAATTTTATTCAACTGAGGATAAAAGTTGTTTAACAAATGATCACAGATTCAAATCGATATTACTGGTTTGTATTACAAGGGGGTAAGCGCAGTCGTTGGAACAGTGAAACAAATGCACGTGCGGTACGTGAAGAGCGTTACCTTATAACAACCCTTGTCGTTTTCGGTGTTTCATTTGATGTGCATAACCCCTTCTACGTTTTCACTGCAAACAGACTATATGTGAAGTTGATGCATCAGTGACCAAAATGATTCCTATGCAATTCCCTATTTTGACTTATAATATACGTTCCCGAATTATTTCAGGTGAACAATTGACTAGACTTGGCATATGTTTGTGACGGGCGCCGCCGGTGCGGCAGGATACGTTCGCCTTTCCGCGAACACCTGGTATCATCACTATTTCTTAGTGATTCATAAATACATGCGCTTTCATCGTATCGAATGGTGACAATCACTGGGTTGTCTGGTCCAGACTCGATTTGTTTATAAACAACTTCGTATAGCTGTAATACTGCTGAAACAAATATATACTCATAAATAGTCACAATTGCTCAACTCTGCTTTTAGAGCTTTCTTATGGGTGTGGAAAGGGTTTTTCGCTTCTAATTATTCGAGAGGTGAAGGCTCTCCTCCCTCTGCCATTTATCTTAAGAATTTTGGCCACACTATTCACATTCTGTGGCGTGTCGATTTCAAATATGAAGCAATGAAGATACCTCGAAATATACCTTGAATGATGAACCATTCCATGTATCTTCTTTGAGAGGCATTTTAGAAGTTGTAAAGATGGAGAAAACCAGCTCTGTGGATAGTCTACATCTTTATCGCAATAAAGATTGGGGTATATTATTGTTATTGGAATCATGGTGGGATTCAGCAGATGCAAAGGTGTTTGGGTGGGATAGGATCTTGTCCACTCTTGATGTAGTCATTACGAATGGCTGTTG